GCGTTTCTCATTAGAGTTGACAACTCTGCTTGCCGAAGCCACCTGCTAGACCGAAGCACAAGGGCTAAATGCAATTTGTCACCACAGATCACACTACCTACTGATTTAATTGCCCTCTAATTGGAGCTTTTATCCCAGTCGTAATTTATGAGAACAATTAAACCAGAGGAGGGTTCAGTCATGAAGACCAACAACCCCTTTTTGGGGGTTGAATCTTCATATTTCACTTTAGTTCTTTCACTCATCCTGGGTAATTTTAAACCCCAGGCAAAAGGATCTTAATCATGAACTCAGACTTTCTTTCCTGCATTCTGAGATTATATATATATCTCAGTTTTGAGTTTATATTTCGCAAGTCTGACTTATTTTCAGACACCATTGAGCTCACATCTCACAACTCTTTTGTAACTTTTAATCACAATTCTGACATTTTTTCCCCTTGCAATTGTTTATATTTCAAAAATTTTAACCAATCTCACGGCAATTCATACATTTCTGATGAGATGGCTTATTTGTACGAATTCGTACGATTTGTGAAAAACTGTACGTATTTTACGAACTGGCAAATTTGTAGGAATTTGTATGAAGGACAACCCCAATACCTACCCCTCACACAAATCGTACAAAATCATGCGAGTGAGGTCGTATGAATTCGTACAAATTAGCCACCTCATAAAATACGTATAAATTGTTTGTGAGATAGCATTGAAATTTGTGACTTTATATCTCACAATTCAGAAAAAATTCTGAATTGTGAGATATTAACTTAGAATTTAAAGGAAAAATTCAAATTGTGAGATAAAAAGTCGCAATGACCTTTTAAATTTTTTATCCTATGGTGGAAACAACTTCTATATTTAACACTGCAAAAGCAAAGTAACACTGCAAAACATTGCGCCACAGCTTCAGCATTCAGAATGATGATAAGCCGGGTTAAAGGTTAGTTCACCCAAAAATGAAAATTCTATCATGTAGAATCCTGTAGGTCCTCATTGACTTCCATTGTAAGGAAAGATATACTATGGAAGTCAATGGGGACCACCAACTGTTTGATTACCAGCATTCTTCAAAATATGAAGAGTTTGGTTCCAAAACGCTATAAATCCATTTTGATTAATTTGAGTAAAAATGTGTTTTTCTTTACCAAGAAAGTGGCAAGATGAAAACCACTATTTTCTGTTTCAAACTTTCACATAGCATCTTTAGGTTATAATAACATTAAAAATTCAAATCCAGATTTTGATTTTCAAAGATTTATTATAAAATTGAATTATTTTTTTTCCCAAAATGCAATAAATCCATGACACATTTTTTTTTTTCAAAATGCAATAAATCCATTGAATCAATATAAAAGTTATTTTTCATATTGAAACTGTTGAAAATACACAACATGGTTAATCCACATATGACAGCCTCTGAACTTGGTCAATACTAATCTTATATGCAGGCACTGGACTAAAAATACATTCAGACTAAAAATCAGTCATCGCTCCCAAAATGAATTCAACGGGTCATCTTGTTAATGCTATAAATTAATTACAACAATAAACGAAAATTTCATCATGAACAACATCACATTAGACCACAGAAATTCCAAAATGACATTTCCCTTACATTCAACTTCCAAAAGTGCATTCATCTTTGCCATGTTACATTCATTTAGTTGACAAGTGCTATAGAATGGCATTAATAAAAACACGTACACTGACAAGCTGCGCAATATCGCGTTCATAATCGAATGCGACTCATTTGCGATTATGAACGCGATATTGCATATCTTGTCAGTGATCTACGGCTCTGTGTATCCATCTGAAAGCACGTGATGGAGATTTACTACTAAT